AGCTAAGGTCTCTGGTTCCTCATTTGTATATGTGAAATTATCTCTACACAACAAGCATCTTCTATGGGATCCTGTTCATCCACCAATGTATATGTAAGATTCTCCGTTTGAATACTGATTGCGTTTATACTTAATGATTTTTCTGGCTGTTCGTCTTCCTCATCTTCACTCTCTGTGTCGGAAAAAGGTACATTTGAAGTTTGGATACCCATGGATCTGACTTGGGTGTCACTTACCTCTAACTTTACCATTTCTGCTGTTTCCTCCTCTGATGAGTTGTCTGAGTCATTTTCTGTTGAAATTCTTACTACACTTGTTGCTTGACCTAACCCAGGTTGATTTCTCTCCTACTGAGAGCAACTGCCAGTAAATTGCTCTTACCTGGTCTGTGTATGATTTGGAAGTTGTATTCTTGTAGTTGGAGAGCCCACTTTTCTAATCGACCAGTGTGTTTGGCTGTTTGTAACCAAACAAGTGCTTTGTGATCAGTAAACCTACTGTGTACCAAATAGGTTCGAAATGCTACAATGCCTTCCAGCACTGCCAAGCATTCTTTTTCGGTAGTATTGAACTTCCTCTGATCTTGACTGAGTGACTTACCTCCATAGGATACTACATATTCTCGATTGTCATCATCTAATTGGCCCAACACATACCCAATGGCATTGTCAGAGGCGTCACATGTCAGTATGAAAGACCTTGATGTGTCTGGGTATGACAAAATTTGGGCTGATAATAACTTGTCTTTGAGGGTATCAAAGGCATTTTGGCAAGATTCAGACCATTGAAATTTTCTCTCTTTACTTAACAAGGTATAAAGTGTGGTAGCAATTTTAGCAAAATCTTGGATAAATTTCCGACAATAGTTCGCATACCCAGAAAGCTACGTACCTGTTTCTGTGTCTTCGGAATGGGAAACTCACTGACTGCACGGATCTTGTCAGAGTCAACTCGTACTCCCTTCCGTGATATAATGTTCCCTAAGAACTTAATTTCTTTGACGACAGAGTGACATTTTGATGGCTGCAGTTTCAAATTTGCCTCTCTCACACGATCAAAAACTAACTGTTTTAAATGTTCATCAAATGACCGCGAAAAGATTCAAATATCATCCACGTACGCAAGTACCGGTTTCCAATTTAACCGTCTCATCACATCTGACATAAGCGTTTGAAATGGGGAAATTAATAAGACCAATGGCATACGTTTCCACTCATACACTTTCTCTTGTTATAAAAGCCGCTTTCTCTCTAATTTCCTCATCCAATTCCATTCGCCAGAATCCTGACATGAGATCTAAATTAGTAAAATAGTTTGTTCGTGTCTCACCTATGGCATCAAAAACACTTTCTAAATGTGGAAGTGGAACGGACATGGGCACTGTAATTTTGTTTAAAGCACGATAATCACAAGCAAACCGAAATTGACCATTCTTTTTCTTTACCAAAACCATTGGCGAATGCAATTCCGAATTTGATGATTATATGATATCATGATTTAACATTTCTGAAATTTGTTTTTGAATCTCTTTTAAAGTTTGAGATGATGTTCTGTAGAATTGTTGGCGAACAGGCTTTGAATATGGTTTTATTTCAATTTTATGTTTGTGAGCACTTGTCCTTCCATGATCGCTGAGGTCAATTGCAAAGTTCTATCTTTTGCTAAAACTTTCAGCAAGACCTATTTTTTTATTTGGATCTAAATCAGAATTTTATAAATCAAATGAAATCCCACTTGGTTTTTGACTTTTGAAATTGTCTGGATTCAAAGCATTGACACTTATGATCTCATTTTCTAAGGCATACGCTTCTCGAGTTTGTACATCCCAGATATTAGCTACCACAAAATTCTTTGGCAAGTACACATCCTAAAAGGTGGGATTAATCAACCTCATAACCACTTCATCTCTGATACATACCAAGCATTTAGGACCAGATAACTAAAAAGAATGTAACTCTTCATGTTGTTCCAACAGTACTTGATCACCTAATTTTTGTCCTGAAATATGCACAGGTACATTAATTTCACACCTTTGGGGAATTTTCAAAGCGCACGGGCATAACCATTGTTGGTTGAAATTGAACAAACATTGGCATCACCATTGTGATCTGGAATGTGTAGTGTATTGGTCTCCGAAAACCTAGATTTATGTTGTCGGCACAAAAGAAATCTACCCCTAAAATGAAAGCATGGTGTAAACCATCTACCACATGAACTGAAAAGTTATTATCCTGACCATTGATATCTAACTTCACCTCTAATTTACCTGCCACAAGTAAAAGTCTGCCACTAACACCCTTAACTGATTGATGTCAACTTATCATGAGCATAAATAGTCTTCCTAAAAACTCTAAATTCATAATTGTAATAGAAGCACAAGAATCGACCAAAGCACTAGATTTTCTTTCACCAACTTGCAGAGGAATTGTATGTTTTGTCACGTGTGCCACTAGATTGACTTGTGGCTGGTTGTCATGGTGCCCGTCTCTAGAATGTTTTCTAAAAACAGGCGCACACTTTGTTTTTTCTCCAAGTAAAATGTATCGATGCGGAACGAAGCAAGATATATATTGTTAGTAAAGTATATAGAAACGATTTATAGCGTCAAACCGTTTAAAAAACATCCGCAATGCCCCAAACCCGAATTTGCCTTAAAAAAGTGTCATAGCCTTCCTTTTGCACAGACTATATATTTACATTAACTTCCAGTGCCCGTGAGTTCCTAACATAACCTCGATAGTACACTGGGCATAAGTACTGATACTGGTAAATACATGCTTCATGTGCAGATGGGACTTCAAAGCTAAACACGACTCGTTAATAGGAATACGGGATATTAGCGTTCCTATCTCCGATATCAGCATTGGGTATAAATGTATAAACCCATCGAATTCGTTACACCTGATTCCTTTTAGCTGGTCGCTTCGGCGTATAGCTAGTACATGTATATATTAGGTTTCTTTTTCGTATATAATTTATTTCCTTGAATGTGCAATTTCATTTCCTTGACCTGTGCAATTAATATCGTACATCCTTGTTAATATTTTCCTGACCTGACAGAAGCAAAGAGAAATCATTTTTTTCATTTTTGTCGCGTCCAAATATATCGCAATGACATTGGAGGAGACCTTCGCAAAATTAAGTCAAACTTGTAAAGTAAGACTGAGACTTATATAGAAGCTGGAGGAACAAGGTTAGAGAAGAGAAAATGGCGGACAACGATAAACCTCTTCCTTTTACGTGTTCAGCTTTTAAGAGCATATACACAAATATGAAGTTTATATCATTTAAAACTCCGGTAGATTTTTATGACTAACATATGCTGCGGGAGTGTTTCAGACCGTTATATTATAAAAGCGTGTATAGAAACTTCTATAGATATTTCAACTGAAAAAAAAAGCAAAACTACTCATTTCCGGGCGTGCTTGATTATCCTACATCCTTACACTAAATCATCCTTTATATAAATATACTTTATGAAAAATCCAATTTTTGGTACAGTAAAATTTTGATATTTGAGATTTATATATATATATATATATATATATATATATATATATATATATATATATATATATATATATATATATATATATATATATATATATATATATATATATAATGACAATAATAATATTAACATTATAATAACATTATACACTAAAGTAACTTGACATTGCAGCGTTGATGTCGAAACTACTTTTATATTTTGTTTTTAAGGATAAATAAACGTACGATTTCTTTATATTTTAGGAATATATTATTAATGTCCTTTTTATTCAAAATCAGTCAAAAAATATATATCAATCCATACATCAATGTATATTTTTTAAAATTTTGTTATGTATCCCTAATTCACAAATACTGCAGGAAAATATTTTTTTCCATTTCATCATATTTTCAACATGAGCATGATGAGATATCATTCATGTATTAACCATCAATATAATAAAAGTTTTGTAGCAATATAATATAATAGATGAATTTATTAGATTTTCTGTCCCAAGTCCAAAATTGTATAAACATTAAGAATATATGAACAAAAAAACACTTACATTCTTAATCTCTCAGGTACAAATGTGAGATGTTTCAAGTGCTTCTTAAGTGAATATTTAAAAAAAAAAAGCCAGTATATTCCTTCAGAAAGATATAGCGTGTATATAGAATATTTCAAGACGTTAAACTAATGTGATAAAGAAACTTAAGCAGAGACTTTCAGCATTACATTATGATGGTCATTATATTTTCTTTTTTACATAACTAATAATGCAATGAATTTAAGTCGCAAACTATTACGTGAAATGTTTACAACTTTGAAGTTTCATTATCTTTGTGCGTTATATTGGAAAACTGTGTTTTATACATTATAATCTGTTTAAACGATAAAAATTTGCTTAATGAAATTCGATTATCGGTCACACTGTACGCAGCGCTACCTGTTCGGTATGTTTACTCGCTTCGACGAACTGTACACTTCCGTTCCTACACCGTAACAAAGCCAAGTATTAACCAAGGATAATTCAGCCTAATACGTATGTCAGTTTACTAATTAAGGTTGTTCCTAAAGAAGCAAAGCTTTTAGAAACAAAAATTTACACTAATATCAACAACCCAGCTGTCATTGTCTTTGCAATTTTATTAACCAGGACAGGATTAACTTAATATATTTTATGGATCCCTGATATGGCGGTGCTCTGTTTGACACGAATGAAAACGCCAGGCATTCATATAAGAAAAATTACACATATTTCAATGACAACACGGATGACTCTGTATCAAACAGCAGAGGTGCTATTATGACATGAAACTCAAATCAGACAGATAACATTTTGTTTGATTATACGTGGGTCAATGTAAATAATCGTATCTTGAATCATATTATTAATGATCTGCTCTTTCAACTTTCGTTTTTTGATCAGAGTTGCTCAGCAAAAAAGGCCTATCTGAGTTACCTTACATAAAGAATACTTCCGGATTTGATCATTAGTGAATTTGGTATCATGGATCCTCGAGACGTCGCCTCGCGCGACTTAACTGGGGACAATACAGTGTTACAGAAAAAACTGATCGATGCAGTGAAAGAAGGAAGCGCCGAAAAAGTTACAGACATATGCGTTTCTCTCCCAAGGAATTTTGATATGAACAACGTTTTTGAAAAACCATTTTATGGAACCCGTAATGGGACACCTTTACTTCATCTTGCCTGTAGTACTAGAAATCCAGGGGAAATATTGAAAATTTTGGTCAAGTATGGAGGAAGTTTATGGTCGAACAAACTAGATGGTTTAAATTTATTTCATTATGCCTGCAAAAGGAGAAATGTGGAGGTTATACAATTCATTCTAGACAAGTGTCAGGATGTGTTATTCCTTCATAGTCTATCAGATGCTGGTTATGATGCACTCTTTTACGCAACAGAATCTTGGAAAAACGACCCAGAAGAAGGGAAAAATGTTATTGAACTCCTACTTTCCCAAGGAAATTTTAAGATTAATCGATTTCGAAAAGATGGATCGACTGAGGTGTTGAATGCTGTTATAGAAGGAAGATGCCAGTTAGTATCAATGCTCTGCAAGTTAGGGGCAGATGTGAATCTTGGATATCGTTCGTCTAAAAAGGCAATTCACTGGGCAAGCGAACGAAGTGGGTATCACGATATGATACAATTACTTATAGACCATGGAGCAAATAAAAACGAAGTTTGGCGCCACTGTCAGCGTCCTATACATTTGGCTCTCAAGCATAGTCTAACTAGAAATGCAGATGTTTTGCTGCGATCAGGAGTTGACATTTCTGGCTCAATAAAGCTTAATAACCCTAAGTACTTGTGGATTTCAACATTTTGTCTAGCCGCCATGCGATGCCCTTCACTAATTCCAGAGTTTCTAGCTCGCGGTGCCAACCCCCAAGAAATCCACTACACGAGTGGGTACTCAGTGATTGGATTTGCCATAGAAAATAGTGGTAGCCGAGAAGTGATAAAGTCCCTAATACAGAAAGGCGCTAACATCATGAAAGGATGTCATGGAAAATCTGCTATCAAATGCTGCAAAACATTAGGTAATTTCTAATTTAACTAGTGCTAATTGTAACGGGAACCGTTACAGATGTTCCCCAAACGGCTCCCCAATCCCTTATGATGCCCCATTCCCTACAAGCTTCAATAAATTAGACAATACTTTTGTAATATAGATGGACACTTTATTTTTCATGGTATTTCATTGGAAAACTACTCCGATATAGCCACATGGGTATTAGCCAATCAAATTTCAGCGCGTGTGCTTGCGCATGTTTTCTACATATTTCACATTAATTATCTTACAGTGTCTCACAATACATACATTTGTTTTAAATATTGAAGAATTTCATTGAAAAATAAGAGAGATATACCCTTTAAGTATTAGCCAATCAAAATTCAGCATACGCGCATGCATGGCCTTGCATTCAATTTTGATAGTATCATAATGTAGGAGCTCTATGTGCCTATCCATGTCATAAATTTCATCCTGTTTTGTTGAAAACCAAGGGAGTTATAGACATTTAAAGTTTCAACCAATCAGATTGCAGCACACCTGCATGCGCGTGTTTTCAAGAAATTTCCTATATAACATGTTGTAGCACCTTATAATATATACTTATATTCTAATTTTCAAAGTATTTTGTCAAAAAACAAGGAAATTATTGAGATTTTTGTATCAGCCAATCAGAGAAGAGCGCACGTGCATGTGCGTGAGGTCATGCTAATTTGACCATGTTATCTTGTCTAGACTACTAATATATCTTTATATTTTGAGTTTCAAAGCAATTCCTCAAGAAATATAAAAGTTACGGCTTCATCAAGTATATCAGTCATTTCACTCATTGCACGCGCGCGCACGTGCATGCATGTGCGCGCAAAATGACCTTCGTTCCGAACACCTACACAACATGCCTATTAACCCTAAAAAGGTTTCATGTCAATCAGATGAGTGGTTCTATGAGAACACTCCCGGACAAAAAAGTACCGGAGAAGAAAGTAGAAAAAAAGAATAATAATAATAATAATAAGAAGAAGAAGAAACAGAGTAAAAACAATATGTTCCCAAACTTCGTTTGGGGAACATAATAATCTGAAATGAAGAAACAGTTTATATTTGAAATCAAAAACGAAATGGCAAATATACGAGGAATATTAAATATCTGTCAATTATGCCAAAATGATTATATCTCTTTTAAATTTATACAATATTTTACTCCAAACGCAATGATAATTAAGTTTATGAGTACACATTGTGATAAAACGGAATAATTTAAATTTTTAACGTAAATCGTCGCTTTTTCAGCACAATTAAATTGGGCTTTAAGGTTTTCCATCCCTAAAAGGACCTAATTTGTTATCAATCACGTGCACGTATTTAATTATAACGCTCTGATATCAATTTTATAGCATTTTAAAGTAGAAAAGGATTTACCAAAAGTAATTTTCCAAAAATTTATTTATCTTTGCCCAATCAACGAAGATTACATTGATGTCTATGGGGACAAACGATATTTATACTTTGAAAATTCAAAAATAAGAATATCAATATATACATGTAAATGTTGTGGTGGAAAGATGCAATAAATCATTAAAAACAGAATAACATTTAAAACGATCCTTTTACCCGAACTAGAGAGTTCCAAGGAACGCGTGTGTCCATGCTTAAAAGCACCATTAAGGTTTTGCCAAAGGTCAACATGTCCAAAAATTTATTTTTACAATAGCTCCAAAACTATGTGGTTTATAAAATTAAAACTTTTACAGTTTATAAATATATCATTGATTAACGGATAGAAAGTATCACTTGATAACAAATACTTAAAGAAAGTATTTATCGAGAAAAATTCTTTTTAAAAAAATGCATATATTTTTAAAAAATACACCAAATTAATTCCATACTTTTAGTGAAAGCCATCATTGCAGAAACAATATGTGTTTATCAATGAAGGGCAAGTTGGACTCTAAAAAGTTGTTTTCCTTGTTTATTTTGTCCAAATGTTAAGATTTGAAACCGAAAGTACATTGCAAATGGCGGATTTTATAGGGGTCTTGTCTTTATACATGTCAAGCTTTCAATAACAGCCTTTCAGAGACCATTCACGTCCAACTTGCCCTTCATTGATAAACATATATTATTTTTTCAATGATGGTTATCACTAAAAGCACAGAATTAAGCAGGTGCATTTTTTTTAAAATATGCAAATTTTTTGGAATTTTTTTCCCTCAAAAAATATTTTTTTAAATATTTGTTTTTAATTGATACTTTTTATCTGTTAATCAATGATATATTTATAAACTGTAAAAGTTTTAACTTTATACCTCACATAGTTTTGGAGCTATTGTAAAACTAAATTTTTGGACATCTTGACCTTTGGAAAACCTTAAAGACGTAAATAAATCTAAGAGTGGTCATCTATTTATCTGTCGCTAATATTATAGTTCGTGCAAAGAAAAGATATCCACGGACAGAAAGACTTCGACAGAATATATGTGGTAGGTGAATAAAAATATGATTCCCCAACCCTGAAGAATAAAATGAATAATTGCATTGAAATTATTAGAAATACCAATTTGTCATTTAATTCATTGTTTAATCATTCAATACCCCAGATTCATGACTAGGGAGGTTTCAGTTTGTCTTTGCAATTGTCAGTCTACAACTTGATTTGAAGTACAGTCAATTTTGGTATGCCGATACCGATGTATTTTTATAGTATCTAAATTTCATTTTGTGTCGTAACTGTATATACAACAGTTTCAATGTACAGTACATGTATCACAAACTCATTAACATGTTGTGATATGTATGCTAGTTATCGAAATTTTGCCTCTCAAAATTCAAAAGGCGGGTTTTAAATTATAATATTAATAATAATAAAATTATTACATTGAACTTATTTTACAAAGTATAACTAATAATTTTTGGAAAGATACATTAATTGCCTTAAAAAATATAGAAGACAAAATGAAAATAGATTCCTGGGAAGATTTCATCTCTCAACCATTATGGCACAATAAAACAACCCTCAAAATTGACAATAAGCCCATTTTTTACTCTAAATGGTTTATCAATGGTGTACTATTTATTTCAGATTTGTTAGATGAGAAGGGAACTTTTCTAAAATTAAAAGAACTTCAAGCAAAATTTAATATAGAAACCAATATTTTAACCTATGCGAGTCTACAGAAAGTTATAGAAGTAGCTATGGCTGTAGAAAAAGTAAACAAAGAAAAATCAAACCCAAAGCCCATTCTACCTTCTTATTCAAAATTATTCTGTTTATCTAAAAAAGGAACAAAACCTATCTATAATATTTTGAACACAGAATATGCAGTACCTTTCTCAAAAGTGAAATGGAGTAAACATTTTGAAATTCAAGATTCCCTATGGGAAATGCTATACAAAATTCCTTTTCAATGCACAACAAGTTCTAAATTACAATGGCTACAATTCAGAATAAATCAACATATCTTAGTTACAAATAAAATTTTATATAAAATTGGTTTGAAAGATACTAAATTGTGTAGCTTCTGTCAGACATGTGATGAAACAGTTTTTCATATTATGTGGGAATCCGAATGTCAGAAGGTTCAGGAACTTATAAATAGTTTTACCATTCTTTGTGAAGCTCACAATTACATTTAAAGATACTCCTCTGTTATTTGATTATCTTCACTTTCTGAAATCGTCTTGAAATGTTACTTTGTAGCTCCGCTTTGACTCCAATTCTTAATATGTTCTTTAGATGGTTTACATTCATTCTTTATATCCTCTGAACCAGGTCACGGCACCAATGTGGTGACAGTTACAGTGAAGAAATACACTGCTACTCTACAGTGTTTATTCTAACTCATGAACTGTAAACTGTAAACAGTTGTGTACATGACATCATGGATACGTCCATTACGTCTTTCTATAATAAAGTCAAAATTGTGCATTGTATTCACTTAACATACAGTAAAAGGTATTTTGATACAAAGAAATATGGAGATAACGAACAGTATTCCAGCTCAAAAGTCCATTAAAACAATATAAATCGGGAGTAGAGCAAACACAGACCTCTGAAAATATCAGAGGTGGGATCAGGTGTCATGGAGGAGTAAGCATCCAATTCGGTATACTGATTCCGATTTAATTTCATACAACTCACCAATTTTTTTTTTTTAATTTCAGGTCTTGTGATAACATGTACATCATAAAGTTAAAAAAAAATACAGTTTAACATGCAACGCATAGAAATTAATTATCAAAGTACTGCTTCTCAAAATTCAAAAGACATCGTTAAATTAATTGTCTAGAAAAGTAGACCAAAGGTCAAAATAAAATGGACTGTAACACTGTTCTTTTATCAAAATGTTTGAGATAAACAGCGCACACGCTAAATAACAGGTACTTATTTCTCAGGGATCAAAGAATATGCTGTATATCAGCATTATGAATTTTTTGCAACATTGGTCAAAAGGTCAAGTTCAAAGGTACGAGATCGGTTACTTTAGCTTTTTACAAAGAAAAAACTTAATGCCAAACAATATTTGAGCATAATATATCAAATCAATACCTCTTGCAGTTCTCATGATATTAGGTGTGGCAGACATATGGACAGACAGACGTAAAATGATCCTTAAGTGTCTACAGGCCACACACAGGTTTTTTGTTTACCTCAGAATTTTTTGAATAGAGAGTACAATGCAATGATTGGCTTCAGAATAGGTGATACATGTATGTGTTGATTAAACTCATATCGGGTATTATGGACCAAAACACAGAGGGGGATAACCTCAACTTCATTTTTCTTTGCATGGGTCCTTGTAACCATATATTGACCCTGTTTTGAGTCCATAGATAAAAAGAACATAGTATTACATTAATCATTTATTACATGATTTTTAAAAAAGTATCCAATTTAATGATAACAACGAGACAGACAGTGCAGACATCTTACAGAGTTGACACAACTGATAAGGAATGCCTTTTCATAAGATTACGTCACAAATAACCAAATCTCTGAACAAGAATAGGTACGAATTCATAATTATTCTG